GGCAGACTCACCCTGCCGCCGAAGGGCTGCGGTCCCTGAGCCCTCGGCTCCCGCGTGGGACTGCGGCAGCCCCTGCGAAGCAAAAAGTGCTTGAGCCTGTGCTGCCAGGCCTGCACGCCGCTCCTCGCAGACGCTGGCGGGAGCCAGCTGCTGGGGTGACGTCCCCCCTCGGCACCGCAGCGCTCTGTACCTGTGTTTTTTTTTTTAAAATCATGATTTTTTTTCCCCTTTTTGTCTTTCTTAGTACATTTGTTTACTTCATGTTTTCATGTAGCTAGCATCTCTGTTTTCAGATCCCAACTCTTCTAATTTAGCTATGATTACGTTTGAATTTTTCCAGTTAAGATGAATAAACAGAAAGCCTGACTGAATTTCTATTTATTTTGTAGCTCTCATTCAATTACACTTGAAACATGTTGCAGTTTATAGCAGATGCTTAGTTCTTGTTTTAGTCTTTTTTTTTAAACAAAAGCAATCATCGATTTTGAAAGCTGTTTCAAGACATGCACATGTCGAGAACAAGTAGAGGCTAGAAAGATTCTGCCACCCGAAGGAAGCTTTCCCTGGAGCAGTGGCAGCAGGAAAGATCCAAGTCCTTGGCTTCCTTCAGACTGGCGCTGTAGTTCTCGAGGACATCCCACATCACTAACATATTAAGCCCAGGATCCAGTGCTACTCATGTTGGGTTCCATTTAATTTGGGGCAAGAAGAAAGGACACACTTTTCATGAGGACCCAAGAATTTATTGTTAGTGTAATTAATCCCTAAACAGTCCAGTGGAAATGGGACAATTGGAGCAATGCTACCCATTTAGAATCCAAATCAAGATGGCAAAGTGAACTGCCTTACTCAGAACAGTAGAACTACCATCTCCTTTTCACATGGAGCGATGTCCCTCTGGTTAGGAGGGCTGCATCTGAAATGCACACCGACCAACAGAGCCGCCACGGACCTGCCTTCTGCCACATCTTCGAAAGACTCAGTAAATTAAGCATTTGACCCATTAAAACCCCATATACGAACTACTCCGCTACCACAAAACAACCAGTCTGTCTCAGTGCCTACAAGTGATTAAAGAAAAGGGCTAATGCCTGGAGCAAAAAAGCAGGACAAGTGACCCTTCTGCATGCTGGAAGGCTGAGGTTTCAACCTCCTTGAGTACATCTCCTCTTGCTCTTTCTGGACACATGCACCTGCTATCCTCCCCCTTCGCTGCTGTGTGGCAGCGAGGAAGAAGGACGGAGTAAGGAGCTTGGAAAGGCCATCCAGGAACTGTGGCATTGCTCTTTATACTTCTGGGTTTGCTCTCCTTGTGTGAATGCCCTTCCCTCTGGCTGGAACATAGGATTACTGGCCCTAGCGCTGAGTCCACGAGACTGACTCAATTGCACCAGCTTCTGGCATCTGCTAGTTTAGCAAATGACTGAAAGAGACTGGGAATCACCTCCCCTGCAGAGGCTACAATTGTGTTCAAAAAACCCAGGAATAATTTCAGGAAAAAAAAAGGGGCAGGAGGGAAGAGAAATTGTGTCAAGGAATAAGCCCAGCATACAGATTTAAATTCCTAAAAATCCTTGATTCAGGGGTGCTCTCTCTAGGCCATGTGTCTTCGAAAGCAAGGTGTGCAGCAGCGGCCCAATGGCAACACGAGCCAGTGCTCTGAACCCTGGAACACAGCCACAGCCTTTTCAAGTTTAATTTTTTAAGAACAAGAGCCAATACATTGGCTACTTCTTGAAGCCAGGTGATTACCAGAGCGTTGGCCAGAAGTGCTTGGATGCCAGGTCTCACATTAACTAACTGCTGTTGCTGCTTCTACAAAGACCGTTATTGAACAGTAAGATCTGCCTTCTCTCGCTGTTTGAGACAAAATTCAAGAACGGACCTCCTCGTTTCTTCTTGCTGTGGGCTCAGTCTGCAGAGGCTTGAAGACCCCTGAAATCAAGTCAGGACAGAGGCTTCTTTCCCTGGCTCAAAACCTACACATCTGTCTCTATCCGCAGCCTCTCCATCCGGCGCACGTTGCATTCTACAGCCATGCGGTTGGTGATCTGCCGGGCGCAGGACTGGGGAAACCAGCCCCTTTCACCATCTCTGAGCCTCTCACCCCAGCACCATCCTAGGAGAAGAATAGAGCTCTTAAGTCAACAAGACAGGATAACAGCTTCTGCAGCCACATACGGAAGCAGACAGCTACAGCACTTCCATTCTCAGGGAGATGCCAGCTAGAGGTGTCCAGAGAAGGATGTTTCTGCTTTAGTGTATATTATGGAGATTACTGAATCACTTCTGAGGTCTCTGGTAGTGGCCACCAGGTACAGGAACATAGACCTCACCCTTCTTGTGTCTATCTTCACACAGGAGTCACTAGCAAGAGCTTTGGCAGTTGTCACTGGCTCCCATACCAGCACCAGCTCAGCCAGCCTTCCGAGCCTTGCTGTCACCTGCTCGGCCACAGCAGCAGCCCCTAGTCAGGGGCACGGACCATACCACTTGCTATGGCTTCGTGGAAGCTTCTGAAAGTTGCTAAAGTTGCACAGTTCCTTGGGACCTCCAAAGGTTTTTCCCTTCACCACATGTCTGCCTAAGGCCAAGCCATCTCCTGCCAGAGCTCCCCACTTACCATCCTCTTCACCCAGGACCAGGACAACGTCTGCCTGCTGTAGTGAAATCTCATCCGTTTGTTTAGCCAGGTAGGCCCGGGTTATCTCCACTTGGCTCAGATCTGCAGAGGAGAACAGTGAAAGGCAGGGACTGAATGGAAAAAAAAAAAAACGCAGTAAGTTACAGACCAACATGAGTAGGAAGTGCACCAGAGTGCTCTGCCCTGGCCAGGCAGCCCTGCAACTGCCCTTCGGCTACACAGCTCAGCAGCTTCACGGGGTTCCTGGTCACCATGGCCAGACGAGGAGGGCTGCACAGCGGCGCTCCAGCACTGCTCGCGCCAGAGCTGCAAAAGCTACTCCACAGATGAGCCTAGTCCCGGCACGGCCCATGCCTCCAGGAGCTACCCAGCCCACAGGCTCTATGGCAACAGCATGTTGCTCTTCGTTCACTTTCTATCTCCCTCCCCACATCTCCTCCCTCCCTCCCTCCAAGTACATGGGAAGCAGAATCTCTACTTACTGATGGTCTAATGCACTCCTAGACTTTTTGCTTTGTCTTTTAGGAAACACACCTAGGATTTACTATGACTGAGGAAGAGTCTGTGAGGCAATTCCTAACTAGCAAGATGTTGTACCCTGAGTCCTCTTCACCGATACACATGCCTATCTCTTTCTCCAGTAGAAGTGGATTAGAACAGTAAAGAAACGTGGGATTAGTCCATCCAAGACTGTGAAGGACTTAGACCCACAAAAAGAAACCTGTATGAGCCTTGTGTATTCAGAAATACTCAGGTTCTACTGTAACTACTAATCCCCTCACAGCAAGGCCTGACCTTCAGCATAGCTTTACCTCCTTTAGGAGTGGTGTCAGGTTTTTCCTTTTCTCTGTGCATCAGTGCAGCAATCCACCGGGCCCGGTCACTCCTGGCAAAGAGAAAGCCCACATTACACCGAAAGTCATAGAGACTTAGCATGGATGTTGTTGGCAGTAGTTGGAAACTTCCTAGTAGGATGAAGTCTTTCAAGGGAAGCTGGACTGAGCAGCCATCAGACTCGGAGCATTCAAGTCCCTGGCCACGTAAAGACTCTTCATGAGTAGTACACAGAGCTCAGCCATGTTGCTTAATTTGCACAGGGGAAGCATTATATGAGGATTGGTTTTGGAAATCTAAAAGAGAAAGAAATAGAGCAAGGGAAAACACTTGTGCAGGTTCCTCTTTCTAGGATAAGGGCGGGCGAGAGAGAAAGGGTGCTTGACAGAAGCCTCCTTGGCGACTTCCAGTTCATGGCTTTACCCCGCAAGCAAGAAAGTGTGCCTTGTTAAATCTCCCCTGACAAGGAAGCCACAGGACCACTCACAGAGTCTCTGCCGACAGGACGATTTCCTCTCGTTTGCCCTCGCTGTTCTTTTCCATGAGCACTCTGAAGAGGTGCCCGCTCACTGCGCTGCGGGCTGTGCCGCTGGTCCCTGTTTTGCCAGGAGGAGGGGAAGGTGGGTCTGCGTTCTCTATTTTCTCCACTGTTATCTGATCCAGTGTAGCATAGTTCATTACGGTGTAGCTCTCCTCACTACAGCAAAGATAGGATTAGCATTTCAGCCGTGGGCACACTCAGAGCAGACAGTCTGCTTGGGAACCGGCTTCCTCCCAGCACTGGATAAAGAGCCAGAGCTGAATCCATTGCCTGTTCTCTTGTTACTTAGCCTTGCAGTTCCAGCTGGTTTTTATTAGGGGTTTTATCCTGGAAGCACAGAATCCTGGGATCTGTGACCTTTGTCAAACCCTTGGTCTTGATCCTCCTACCTTTCTCCTTAGGCCAGTTTTCAGGGTGTGAAAGATACCGTACATGGTGTTTAACAGGTCTTCACCCAGTCCAACAACAAGCATCAAGTATTGCACCATAGTTCAGTCCAGCTTGCTACAACAAGACTGAAGTTAGCGCTGCACTACACAGAGCTGCCCAGTGTCTCCTCAGTCCTATGAGTGCTCTGTTAAACCTGCTAACCTGCAATGTCACAAAACAGTTAGGTCTTAATAAGTACAGTTAAGCAGGCAGCACCTGTGGCCCCGAGGTGACCAGTGGGTTGAACGTTGCTCTGCAATTTGTAGGCCATTCATGAATAGAAGTTGCATGGTTGTGGAGTTGGGCACTTCCCTTCTGACTAAAAAGAAGCACTTGAATAAAGACCGCAAGAGGGAAACCTTGAGAATTTCTTACACTACACGTTGCCTGGGAAATTTGAGGTTTTAACCCATCTAGTCCTTAAGCCTTAGAGCTGTACTTTAGGTCTGATGGAAGATCAACTGTTTGGGGACTCAAGTCAGTTAGTACAGCCTGATCATCTCCTATAAATCTCCCAGTTCATCTACTATCAGCTGGAAGCACTTCTGTGAGTGAGCAAAGTGATCTGTTAATCTCCTGACATCCCTTCCAGGGATTAGAGGCACACCCATGACACTGCAAGACGGCTGTCTTGTTTTGATTGCGTTTCACTGGATGGCACCCATTAGCTTTGCACCCATATCAGATGGTAGGTGAGGCAAGCACCCATCCCGCTGCTATACTAAGCACAGCAACCAGTGATGGGAAGGAAGTTACTGGCATTTCAGTCCTGCTTGTAATGAGTATCTACAGCTCTGGTGGATCAGAGCTCTCCACTGAGGGACAAAGTCCTGGGCAGGTTCTGCCCAACCAGCTCATGGGATAGAAAGAGGTACCCCTGAGTCTTACCTTTTCTTCTTGGTTATGATTAGGACATCGTTGAACAGAAAGAGGTAGCAAACCCTGCCAGAGCCTTTGCGGAAGATTCCTGCCTCTTCTGAAAGGAGCTGGTAGAGTTCCCCTCTCTTCAACAGCCAGCGGGAAGCAGAAATCAATGGAAAAGGCTGAAATGGATCCAGAGGAAGCCTAATTTAGTGTTTGTCTCAAGCAAAATCAAGACAAGCAGCTATATCTAAATGCATAACAGATCCTAGGGTCAGTTTGGAGGGAAACATTATAAACTTTGAAACAACAGGAGCCACGTTTTTCAGGAGACATGCTGAGAAGCGGACCAGAGTCACATTCTCCCTCCACCCAACCTGACTATTTCCTTTCAAGGCATGCTGGTGGATCTCATGCAGTGGCAGTGCTCCAGCAGGCCTAGAAATCCCCTGCCTTAAAACACAAGCAGTTGAGCATTCCTTCCTTCTCTTCTGCTTTCCAGACCAGCCCTGCTCTTGGAGCTATCACAAGCCTGAGCTCAGGATACAAGTCCTTGTAAGCAGCACAAACAGGCAGTTGTTCCTATCATCCACCTCAAAGAGGTGCTTTTTTGAACATCAAAGGCTTTACTCAGTCATCCCAGAGCAACAGCAAAAAGGTCAACATTCAGATAAGTTCAAGGCTTTACTACACTCCTCTAGAATGCTGTCACCATCTGACAGTTTTTAAAGACAGACGAGCCCCTATATTTGTCTGGAACGACACAGCTGTTGTAGACATCCAATAAATCAACACAAACAAAACCTTCTCTTGTCTGGAGGCAAATGCAGTTTTCACTACTCACATCCAAGAGACATAGGTACAGATTAAGACAGAAGAGGAAGTGGAGAGTCTTAAGGGAGACTGGCCTGTCTTGGACTACTCTACTGAACTCTCCAGTCTTGCAGGAAAAATGCCCATAAATTTGTATTTAAGACAGAACACCAGGAAAAAAAAAAAGTGGTCACCTTGGGCATGACAACAGTGATACTAGATGTTAGATGAAAGCTTTTATTTCAGAGCTAGACCAGCTCTAGCCGGTCAAGCTTCTCTAGAAGGGTTCCCAGAACAGGCCCAACAAACCAACAGCACACCCCCAGAGGATTCCCCCCCCCCGCCACTTTGATAAGTCCTCACCTTCATTTTTCCAAACTCGAGCTGTTTCTGCAAGGTGTACATCTGCTCTGTCCTCTCCATAGCACGAGCTCCCTCGTTGCAGTTCTTAACCAGCTAGGAAAGAAAAACACCAAGAAGTGAATGCCAGGAAGCTCAGACAACCCTTCCTCTGCATGAGCACAAGTACTGAAGGCAAAGCATCAGGCAGAGCAGGCTGCCTCAAGCTCTTTAAAAAAACAAACAAACAACCCTCAGTTGACCCTTTTCTTTGAACAGGCGAAACAGCTGATTCCCAAAAGAGATTCCAAGTTAGGTTTGGGAAAAGACGGATGGAAGTTTTCCTTCCACAAGAGAACTCAAAGAGAGAGTTTGCAGGTTTCCTCTATTTGGACAAGGACCAAACTGAAACTGCACCAAAACCAAGGAACAATAAGAGGAGGAAGAACTAATCATCTGAGAAGAAGAGATTAAGACAGGAGGGTGAACGACTGAACAGACAGGAAGATGGGAGGACAGAAGCTTTCCAGGCAGGTGAAACACACCACCACCTTTTACATCACTGAAAGGAGGCCTTGCAGCATCCTGCCACCTCACATTGTCTCTCCCAGGTAGTTGTAGCTCAGTGAGATATACCACTAACCCAGGAAAGGGATATCAAGCTTTGGCTGGTTGAACGGGGATTTCTGTGCATTTTGTTCACCTGCTGGATGAGTGAGCTGGACAGACCACAGGCAGCAGGGGCACTTTGTCAAGAGTCGGACTTTAGGGAGACAAAAAGGGAGTTACTGCCATCAAAACAGAGGTAGCAGTAACCTGCCATGGTGTATCACCCTGAATGATAACCAGACAGGAAAGCAGATGGAGATGAGACAACTGGAGAACTAATAATGCAAGGTTCACAGCTGTCAGTGCTTCCTTTGTTCCTTCTCTCCTCTACCCTTTCCTCTTTGCTTTGTTTACTGTCTTTGCCTAAAGCTCCAAAAGATGTGGCAACTAGCTGTCGTAGTCTGCTATCACCTCAAGGGAAGGTTCTGAAGCAAGGAGAGCACTAACAGAGAGGAGGACAGCGAGGGGAAGGACAAAGGATGGACCAGAAAGGAAGGAAGAAAAGAAGAAAGGTGAAGAAAAAGGAAAAAAACAAGATCAAGTGGAGAAAGACAAGCAAGGGAGAAGACGTGTGCATCCTACAGCTATTTGGAGCAGACAAGTCTCAAGTGAACCAATATAAGAAGGAAAAATAAGAGGGCAGATGACAGGCTTGGGACCAGAGTAATGAAATGGTGCACTGAAAGGGAGAAAAGGTGGAGAGCTGGCAGCTGTGCCTCACCTTGCTGATGGCTTTCAGAGCTCTGGTGGCAGCTCCGTATGCTGCAGTGCATGCTTTTGTTTTTTGACAGAGAGTCTAGAATTTCAAGATAATATGCTTTAGTGATATTGCAAGACAGAGCAACTGTGCATCAATTGCTTCCCTTTGATTTAAGGATGTGACAAATGCTCAAGCTGTTCCCAACTGTCAGGCTGGCAGAGGAACAGACATGCATTCAAAGCAAGGTTTAACAATGCTGGTAGGTGTGATGCTCTCCGCTGGGGCTCTAGCATCTGAGATGCATGCCTGACCATCACCGTCACCTCACACACCAGGCACCCACCTGGCTCCCACACCTGCTGGCTGTTACAGAGTGGAGCTAGGTATTAGAAATCCCCAGCCAGCTTTTTTTGCTGTTTAGAGCAGCTGGGTCCAGATGCCACAGATTCAAACGAAGCTTGTGCAAGACCTGCTTTCCCTTCCTGGGCCACCAGATCATTAACCAAACAGGAAGCTTGTGCTATCCCACCTTCGTTATCCAGATGCCAAATGCAGCATGGGGAGCACAGAAGAACCTTATGTCTGGGCAGTCTCCTGCCCAAGGCCTCTTCCTAATTCAGCACTGGAGCCCCAGCCACTCAGGGAGATGGAGCAGTATTTACAAAGGTTTAAGCTACACATCTGACATCCACATGAAGAAGAGAATATAGCGGATCACTCTGTTTGGATCTAAAACCTGAATAAAAGCTGAGGTCAGTATCCCAGCCTCAGCTCGCAGAGGGATGGAAGTCCAAGCAGAACACTGTCCTGGGCTCACCAAACAGATGAAGGGAATAACACAGTCACCTTTTGCAGAGGTGCCAAGGAACACCACCGTGTGGCTTACTTACATCTAACAGCAGAGGAAGCCGTGTTACTCTCTGCATAGGGAGAATGAGAAATGATATCATTGGCAGGCCTCCACACTCTGGCTTCCTTTCAATTTGTTTCAAGGCCTCTTTAAATGTGGGGTTTGTGGCTCTGGAACAGGACAAGAAATCTCCATTAAGTCTGCTCTTCTGACACTAAAACTTTCCAGAAGACTTCCATACATGAGAAATCCAGTGCAGCTAAGGCAGGACCTCTGGTGTTCAGCAGCAGTCAGTTGAGTTCAGAGCACACAGCTGGTGCTGTGGATGGACTGACGCTAATGGGTTGATCCATTAGCAGGTTGTGGAAAAGTAACTAGAGATGGTGAGTCCTCCAAAAGGCAGGTGTCTCTAACACACCCCATACATGTTACTGACCTTGGCAAGATCACAAATTCATAGCAAAGCTGTCCCATCTGACTTCAGTAGGTCGCAGCATTACCCCCACTTATCCCCTTCCCTCACCCTTCTTACAGCACATGTCCAGCTTCACAGGCATCTCACTTATGCCTAGAAGCTGAACTAGGCTCATCTGCTCCCTCAGATGGGAACCAGCGCTTCCTTAGGAAAAGGAAGCAACAAGAGAGTGGGCCCCATGCAATTCATGGTCCTGTTTACCCTGACTGCGATAAGCCAGTGTCACTGTAGCTCAGAGTTCCTGCGTAAGCAGGTCATTAAAGAGCCCAAGGCCTTAGCACACAGCAGTACTCACAGCAGCTTTTGAAGCGTCCTCTGCTGATAGACTTCATTGGAGCAGTAACTAACATAAGGATTGAAGTGGTTCGAGGCATGTTCTTCCACAATGTCACTGATGTCAGGCATTAGGAGGTTTTCCTGGTGTCGCTTTTCTAAGTCTTCAAAGAAGCTAAAGAGAGAATTTCAGATAATCTCACTACGTGACTGACTGGGGCAAGACGCAGTGAACTTTGTTTAACAGTGTTCCCACAGCAAGTTTTCCTAGTTTTACCACTGCTGAAGGGCAGATATACTCCATAGAATACGCTGCAGTGTTGAGTGACAGATTGGGAACCCAGCTGTAATACCTCATTCCTCTTTGGTTCCCCCCACTCCAGTTGTTTTCCCATGAAATATCTGGGAATTTCTCCTGTATCAATAAAGATGCAGTTGGAAGATGCCACTTACACAACGTTGCCTGACTTCACCTTAGCAATTTTTGATTTACTCTTTTACAAGGGGGGCTTAATTCTTTCCACCATGTGGAGCCTGACATGTTCTTGGTCCCATGAAAATGACATGGCCACAGCACTGAAGAGTCTTCCCTTTTGTTTTCCATTCATTTTCCTCCACCATTCATTGCAAAGCTACCTCCAGAGTGCCACCCCTCATCTCAGACATGTGCTTCACCTTACTTCCAGATCCAATAGCCCTGCACAGAATCCCTTTGCTAACCACAAAGTTCAACTCTGGAACTAGAGTTCTGCAAGTAGGATAACATTTTGCATGGATACCAACTATTTCTGAGGAAGCAGAGAAGAGATTCGGGGTAGCAAAAGCTTTCTGGATTATGAGTTAAAGATACGGTTGTACAACTGTGGCTAACTGGCCAGAGCAATATTCAAGCTGCAAAGCTCAGGGGTTTGGCTAAAGAGAGAAACAGACTGGAGCGAACTTTGCCAATAGACAGGTTTCCATTTGGACTCTCCCAGGATGGCAAGTGTTCCTGAAGCAGCACAGTTCCTGGAATTATCTACTCTAAAATGATTATTTCCATCCTAGGAGCTATTCCCAAGTAGCCACAGCTGAAAAATTGGTTTGACAACAGCTGTTCAAATTTCTCCACATATGCAGCTCTCCCTAGCCTTGTAGCGGTGGGACGCTGCACACTTGAGCCACGCGCCTTCCCTGCCACACACAGCGGCAGCAATCTCCTCCTGGGCCTACTGACCAAGCAAGCCATCATGGTAATAAGCAGACACACAGAGATGTATGATAGGTGGGATGATGCGAACATCATGCAACTGCAGTGGGTTTGGGAAAGGACTAGGAAAGCAGCTTTTGTCCTACTCCCACATTAAGGTATTTCTGTCTCTCACTGTAGCACTGATCCATTTCCCTTATTTATCTGTCCATGTAGATAACATCTCAAGATGCTGATCATGTCCAAGGAAACTCGTCTACTGGCAAATTAAAATCAAATCCTTCTTCTTAGGACAAGTTAACAACTTGGATGGAGCAGGAGTGTTTGGACACGTGAGGCAGAGAGCCAGGAGCAGCAGTTTTGCCTGCCAAACGCCTTTCCATTTTCAACTAAACTCAGTGCAGCCTTTGGCAAACCTATGAAACCACCACCTTGGACAAACAGGACCTTTTAGAGCTCTAAAGCAAATCTACAGGTGGAAGTTGCAAGCAGTCAAGCAGCATTACAGCATAGGCTGACTCTACCACATGCTGCAGTTGTGATGAGGGCACTCCTGAGACTTCAGCCCAGAACTAGTCATGCACAGCAGAAAAGCCCCTAGATCCGTTCTGCATAGTCAGCTCAGTGCAACTGAGACACCCCTGTGACTGCCGTGGTGTGCAGCAGTTTCACTGCAGCGAAGGGATTGCAACCCGTGAGCTTTCAAATCCCCAGGGGCATCTGCTTCTTCCATTCCAGGGCTAGATTGTTAATCTGTTTTTGCTTCCCAGGAAGATTCATTTCTGCCCCATCAGGGCCACTGATGCATCCCGTCACAGGCTCAGCTGCTAACTAGCCAGCCACCAGCTGCAGGAAGCTGCAAGCCCCGCCGCCCCCGCACCAGTTCTCACGCCATGCTGCAGCGCAGCCTTTGCTCTCCCCATGTTTACTTTTCCCAGAGCAGCACCGCTCGCCGACAGCCCTGAGCACTCGCTCCTAAGCGGTTCACTCCCCACCGCCCAAGGAGCAAAGGCCACGCCGACACCGGCTCGTCGAACAGGCAGTTTCGTTTTCAGCATCTGAGCAGCTTCCCGCGTGCTTGTACTTTGAAACAAGCAGCGGCTTGCTGCGAAGGCCTGGCTGTGCTGGATCCCCTGCCCCGCAAGCTGAGGCTTTCGGTCACGTCACACCTCGACCGGAGCCGAGTAGCTGCGATGCAGTGCTACAGGCTCAACCTGCCCCCGCTTCCCCAGCCCTGAGGCAGAGGGAGGCACCACCTTCACGACAGAGCCAGAACACCCACAGAGGAATTGCCAAGCCAACTGGAGCGTCCCAGACACGACGGCAGGGACCTCAGGCAGCTGTTACCGCCTGATCGCGGCCGTGTGTTTGAGCAGCAGTGTTACAACCCAGCAAATCCAAGGGATGGTTGTTTTCACGCGGCAAACGAATGGAGCTGCAGAACAACTCCTCCAGACCTGTGGGGGATTCACCAGCACAGTCTTACCCCACTGTGGGTGTCCCACACTTGCCTCGTGCTGACTGCTAGGATGTCGCCAATGTTGGAGAAGAGGTGGTGGTGCTCTGTCTGAGTCATGGTCTCCTTCAGCTCCTCCGACCTCATGAAGTGGCACACCAGGACACTCAGGCTGTGCATGTACGAGTACTCAGAAGTGATGATCTCAAACATTGCCTGAATAAAAGCAAGGCAGTGAAGATATAACAAGGCAAACTATTACTACCGGCAAAATCAGGGAGTGAAATAAAACTTGCTACATCTTACTTCCCTTAGGCTGGAACAAAGTCACTGGAAATGCCTTCAGTCCAACAGTACAGCATTCCCTGTTACCATCTCCTGCATGGCCTACACCACTAACTGCGGTATGTTTTAGGAGAGACATTCATTAAAAAGCCACACCACTACAGCGTTTCCCCTTTCACCAGCCATTTCCTGTCAGCTCCTGAAGGAGCTGCCTCCTCCAGCATTTCCTTGCCGAGACGTGCAGGGGGGCACGCCGAACGCTGCCTGGCCCCAGCAGCGCTGGGAACAGCAGCAGTGTCGCCAGAAGCAGCAAGCACCAGGGCTGAGCCCACCGCTGCGCCGAGCCGGCGTGTGCTTGGGACGCGCACTCAGACGCGGTCACACTCCGCTGCCGCGACCATCAGCGCCGCGTTCCCGCTGCTTCTCTCCCCTCCTGCCTCTTGCGCTCCTCCGGGGATATTTTGTCCAGGATGCCTGCTTCCAGCACCTGCGAGCCAGAGAAGCGCAGGGATTAGTACAAGCTCTCGCTGCCGACTGACGGTTCTTGCACGCCCTCTAGTGAAGTCTGGGGCTCTCCCCAGCCCTTCCAGGATCTGCCATCCACGCAGAGACAGCATTTGCTACTGCTGCAAAGGCTCCGAGCGCACCAAGTACGGCTCTCGCAGTCAACAGCGGGTAGCAGATGCCGCTTCTTAGGAAGACCTCGTTCTCTGCTGAAGGGCCAGCGGTGAAAGCCAGGTCTCCAGCAAAGGCACCTGCCTTCCCTGAGGCTGCTGGCCGCCCTCTCGCCAGCACAACTCCATCGGCTTAGCCGGCATCCCGACAAGCCTACACAAAAGCTTGCAATCCCTAACCAGCGCAAGACAGCCTGGAGCAAAGGTCCGACTGGTCCTGTAGAATATCTGCTCGCTGTTTGCTTGGCAGCCCAGAGTGATTTTAAACACAGTGCGCTTTTTTTTTTTTTTTTTAAATAAGCAAATCCTCCTCTTGTGCAATGAGGATTACTTTTAAGAAGGGATAAGCAGAGGAATAACGATTAAGAACATGGAGACTGCCTGAGGTACAACCTTGCCTCCCCAAATTAGGGCTTCCCAGATCAAACGGAGTGTTGGAAAAATCTCAAACGCAAGCCAGCACCCCCCTGCCCCAGGAGGCAAGCTTTCCCCAGTGACTCCAGGCACGAGGACACCAGCGCTG